AGTATTACATTAATGCAATTTATATTTCAGTATTATTTTATGTCTTTAATTAGTTTTATTATGTCTAGCTAAATTACTTGTATGGGTGTGGGTGTGAGTTTAACTTAGGATGTTTTTATAATTTTTGGGTGTTTTTATCTTTTATCACTTCGTAACTTGGTCACTTAAGACGGTGCTTAAAATGCGGATAAGTTGATCACTTTGAAGTGTTAATATTAGATCTTAGACCCAGAGATGGGCGAATCCGAAATACAGCTTAAGTGATGCACAATGAACTGTCTTTGAATAATTACGCGGAGACGCGAATTTTGCATGCATCTAGCTAGGGGTTAAGCAATAGGTATTTTTATCACAAAGAGATTTAGGTAAGAATCACATTCCTTTTACTTTTTAGCTGGAGCGGCAAGTTCCGAAGTGGTAAACGTAAAAACCTTGTGGAATTTTATGAGGCCCGGTTATAAAAGTTCACTTTCGAGAGATCGGAACTTTTATAAACACCTCGTAAAAGTCTAACCATTTTATTGTTAATTTTATCTTAAGCAACACTTGCACCCATGCCCATCATTTAATATTAGAAGTTTATTGTGTTAATTAGCTAGTCGGTCCAATTTCAGTCTTTTTATAAACAAAAATCCAGTTATTTTACATCTCGAAACTCGTGCAAGAAGTTCATGAAAAATCTCTAAATCTCAATCATACTTTCTCTGTGGGAACGATCTCGGTACGTTGTACCATTTTACTACTTGCAAGCGATCATAGTGTCGGCGTGCACTTGCACCGTCATTGTGGGGACATTCTGCCCACTAGGAAAACACGAAAGATCCTAGTCTGTCAAGTTTTTGGCGCCATTGCCGGGGAAAGGTAACGTGATTTTTATCCTGAGATATTGATTTTTCATTTGAGCCTTGTTCTTTTGTTTCACTCGTACTTCCCGTATTGTATGCCAAGGCTACAATACGGTGAACTTTTACCTCTTGATCTTGAATTAGAAAAAACCATTAGGAGACGTAAAAGAGGTAGAAATAATCGTAACCAAACCATGGGGGATAATCCACCTCCACGGGAGGCCACGGTTAACATTGCCGATGATAAAAATAGAGGCATAAGGGACTACGCAACTCCCGAATTCGGTTAGTTGGCCGCAAGAATTGGTAGGCCTGAAATGACAGCCACAACTTTTGAACCAAAACCCGTAATGTTCCAAATGATTTCCGCAATGGGTCAGTTTGGGGGATTATCGTCGGAAGATCCGCACTCTCATTTAAAATCTTTTATCGAAATGACGGATCATTTTAAAATTCCCGGAGTTACACAAGAAGCCTTACGCTTAACACTTTTCCTTTACA